GAATTTTATGGATTTAATTGTTAGAAAATCACTCCATGAGATGGAACTAAATTCAACTGTGAATAATATGTCCATTTCAATTCCAACCAAACTACGTTTGATTTGAACTTGAATTCCATTATTGTATTTTTTTCATTTCATTTGGCATTAAAAAAAGGAAAACCATATTTTTTTTCTTTTGTTCCAAACAAAAAATTCAGTTGGATTCTACTAGTCTGAATTTCAAGCAAATCAATTCAACTACAAAACTGATGCAATCGTATCAATGGGATTTAGTGAACATATTTGGTTCCAAACTGATTTGGAGCTGAATTCACTTGCGAAAGAACAAATCTAAAAATCTTTCTATCAACATTGCACTATAGTTTATTTTTTCTACATATTACAGTCTTCCCTGAGTTGCAAAAGCAGAAAATACACATTCTTATGTACATCTAAGTGTGTAATGCATCAGAAAACCAAAATAGACACATTGTCAAAGTAGTTTAGATACCTGCAAGGAAGCAATCAAGACCTTGAAAGCGCTCCTACAACAGGGAAAAGTGAAAAGCAGAATAAGTAAAATGAAATGAGGCCACATGATAAATTGCATGAGTTCAGAGACAGAACATACAATTCCAATAAGATTTTCAAGACACAGTATAACTGAACTCTTAGTTGCTGCAGAGCAAACTGATACTTTCTTCCCCTGTAGAATGGAGTGGGAAAAACATATAATCAATCAAAACCAGTTATTAAACTACCAACACAACAAAATGATGGGAAAAAGACATGAAAATGCAAACAATCATTCCCAAAAGTGCAGAGAGGTTTCCTCATGCAAGTCAGGACCCAATGTGGTCATGGATAAAAACAAAAAACAACTTCAAAACAAAAGAAGAATCATGAAACAAAAGTCCCAAGAGAGCAAAATCACATGAATAACAAATAAAGTCTTACAGCAGCCTTAGCCTCATCCATCAATCTCAGAACTCCAGGTCGAGGTTTAACCTAACAAAAATGATACAAATCTATAATATTGTTAACCACTACACATCAATGATTAAACACGCATCAAACTATAGGAACAATAAAATTAAATGCAAGGTTTTCTTACAGTTCCAGATTTGATAATTTCTTTGTATCTCTCAGTCTTCCAATCCTACCAAACCAAGAAATGATTACATATGAAGCATATATAAGCCATGCATCAACTTAGACTTTGAAAAGAGAAAAAGTCATTATATTTAACAAAATAACAGTGTTGTGCAGTCCAGACGAGATGAAACTGCATAACATAAATTATTGGATGGGGATGAGCCCCTGACAATAGAGCTGCCCTTTATCCAATGGTTAGTGTTTTGGAGTTCAGTGCAATACCAACTGCAAAACAGGAAACTCATTCCAAAAAGAAACTAAAATAGAAAGAGGAAAAAAAAGTACTAGCAAAGATTGTTAGAATACCTGTAGAGTATCAATCAACTTGGCACGTTCCTCATCACTCTCCGGCGGCTTCTCGAGAATTGTTGAAGATGGCCACCCGTGTTCCTTGAAGTACCTTGAACAAACCAAAACAGACCTCTAATTTACAACAAGGAAAGAGGAAAGCAGACCAAAACACTAAGAATTTCAGAGTAAAACCATCTCATCTTTGGTTTGCCACCACCAATCTGGTTCTGGAGCACATCGTAAAATTCGAGAGACCAGTTGAGAGGCGCGGAGGATGGAGGACAACGGACGTTGAAATGAGAGAAAGCGTCATTGTAAGCTTGGCGGTGCAAGTGCTCGGATTCCAGAATCACTCCATCGCAATCAAAGATGAGAGCCTGCAGAGAATGTGAGGTTGAGACGGCTACGTAGAGCCGCCTTGGCTTTGTATTGTTGGCGGTTAGCGGCGATTTTCCGGTCCGGAAATAACGAGATTGGTGAGTGCAGAACAGAGGATTGGAGTTGAAAGTAAGAGAAGAAAATTTAGGAGAGGGGTTTGGGTGAGAGAAGAGTGGCGCAAGATTGGCGACGGCCATGATTCTGACTCCGTGACTCTGCGCGTTGGAATCAGACGGCGGAGCAACAGATGATTTTCGAGTTCGTTTTCTGTGGTTACAAGCAGCTTGCAGTTGGCCACCTTCATTCACTCTTCTAACGGATTGGTAATGGTACCCACACAGGCCACAGCCACACGCAGCGCGCGTGTACTCTTCCCTTATTAAAGGATAAAATAAGTTTAAAAATATATTTTTCGATTAACAAATTAAGTAATTTAATAATTATTTTTTTATTAAAAATAAGAGATTTTGAATTTAAATTATATGATATATAAATGAATGAAAAAAAATAAAAACTGAGAGTTACATCCTGAAAAAAAAAAAAAAAAAAGCACCTATACTGGATCGCTTGACGTCACTGATCCAAAGAACTAAGTGTATATATATATACATATTTTTTTTAATTAAGACTATAAAATGAAATGAAATAAAAATAGAGTTATCTGTCTTATAATTTGATACTGAAATATAAAATAATTTTTTAATGAAAATATAAGTATAGTGAGAAAATAAAAACCATCATGAATAAATCAATATCCTTGAAAATTCATCAATGAATCAACACTAATATAAAGGTATTCTTATATCTGGACTGCACTTTCTTTTCTTTTTTTTTGTAGATTAAAAAAATTAGGCTTTGAGAAATTAATCTACACAAATCTACCTATTAAAAAAAAAGAAGCCATGGATAGCAGGCCCTCTCGCATTACTCTTTTCCATGTTTATAAAAGAAATTAAATATATATTTCACAAAAGAAGAGTAAAAATAAAAATAAAACAAACAATGAGAATAGAAAGTAAATTAATCTTAGATTTATTTTTGGCCAACCATGAAATAAAAATAAAGTCTTAGATGAACATTTAAAAAAAAAAAATTCTCAGTTCATTTGCTAAGCTCTAAATTTAAATAAAGCGTGATTTTCTTTTGCCATTCAAACCGATTAATTGCACATTCATTCATGTAGAATATAGCAACTAAGTCATCCCATCCTATCAAAAAATAGAAAAAGATATAGCAAATATCTCATAATTCATAAACCATTCCAGGAAAACTGGTATAGAGTATATTGCTAGTGCTAAAATGGAATCATCAGCTCATGTTTGTTGTTTTTCTCTTCCAAAAGAACCAAAGCTCAATCTTCATTCACAACTCATCACACACCCCATAATGAGTGATGCTTACCAGCTAGGGTTCTGGGTTTCAGACTCAGCCACTAAAGGTGCTACTCCTAGCATCAATATATCTTATTTCTAACACAGGATACTACTTTTAATGTTCAGTTTCGGCTACAAGGTTGTGCCCCCACCATCAGACATGAGAGATGCAGCAGCGGCAGCAGCTGTAGGAACAACCCCAGTTGAGACACCTGGTTTTGATAAATGCAGGAGCCTGTGAAACCAATGTCAAGGAAACTTGCATGTGTTAATCAGATAGATTCAAAATCTTACCACCATTCAATTACAATATACAACATATTAAGTTCCATAGATCCAAAATATATATGCCAGCATAGGAAGAGGATCACAGCCATACGATGAATAGGAAACTTTATTGTACTCTTAACAGATTTTTTCCATCAGCATAAATGAAATTGTTATCTTGTGATTAGTCAAACATTAGGACAGATGGGATTTTTACCAATGCCATGCAACAATGAATCTGAAAGAGATTGTGAAGACTTACGGTGCAAGATATTCACAGAAAGAAGAAACAGCAGCAGCGACCTCGGTATAATTTTCTGATGTTGCAGGGGCCGTCACTTCAACCATCTGAATACCAGGTGTTACTGGAAGAGCCTCTTCAATTGCATGTAACTTTAACATCTTATTAACACATGAGACGGTGATAGTTATCTGTGCACCTCTTTGGAAGTGGAAAGTGAATCCCACTCTCAGCAGCTCATGGTCCAACTTGTAACCAAGTGCATAAAATAGTCGAAGCACATTCTTGCTTGCTTTGCTTTCCACCATGCTCCGAACCAAGACAGAGATCTGCTCTGCACCAGCACCCCTCATTGCACCCCCAACATATTTAACAGTCCTACAGTGCAACAGGAGTTTTTGTCAGCTCACTGCAAATACAAGAAATGAAACCCAAAATCTGAAACACATAATGAGATGCCCTGATTTTTACCATGTTGGTTCGGGCTGCTCAAGATCACACAGCAATCTAACCTCTGAAGAAACAAATCCTGGAAAGAGGAATCAAATAAATCTCCACATTAACAAGGAAGAAAAAACCAAACAGGTTAACAAGTCTAACCATCAATATGCTTTTGATGCATATATAAATATATCAGGACACTGTTTATACTCTATAAAACTCACAATAGGACCAGTGATTGAGCAGGAAATTGAATGTGTTCCATCGTAAGATTAACCCAGGCACAAAATATGGAAAGATGCTTATTGATAATCCAACAAATTCTATTTGCACCTTGGTAGCAGGACAAGTCATAGCCCTCAGTCTGATCACAACCTTTCCCCTCAATGGTTAAAAATCTAAAACTCTCCCAATGAAGGAGGTGGAATCCACCACCTTATCAACCAAAAAAAATTCCAAAAGCAAGATAAGCCAGAAGTTGCATCAAACATAACAACACTGTTTGATACACTTCAAGATCAATGGTTCAAGGAAAATGCAACCAGTTTCAACCTATAAAAGTGAACATGCTCATAGAGTTTCCCCTTATCTTTGCTGCAAAGCTTATTTACCATAAAAGAGAAATACTTACCAAGGTTCGGGCCACTTTTAAGGCAAATTTCATGGACCCTCAACCGTTCTTTATGAACCCCACAAAGACCCTGAAGAAGAATCTCAAGGGCCTCGACATGCTGCAGAATAAGAACCAAATATTAACATTAACATCAATCCAACAAAATAAGGAGACAAAAAGGATAAAAAGCAAAACCACATTCAAATACAAAGAACAACAAATGTTTGCCCAAAAAATTCCCCCCAAGAGTTCATGTCTTGTTTCAAAAAGACTTCAATGCAAAAACTCAGACTCCATAGACAGAATTTCTCCAAATGCACAAGAAACTGGAATAAGCACTCTCCACAAAATCACTTATCACAGCAAGTCAGCAAGGGTAAATTTCCAAGACAACACAAAAAAGCCATTCAATAGAAGAATACCTCAGAAAAAGTAGATTGAGGGTCACCCAACAGAGACTAGAAATATCCAAATTCAGAACAAGAAAAGCAGGAAAAAGAGAGGGAATCTGTCTGTAAAAATTACCTGAGTCTCTATAATTCCCTGAACCACACATTCCATTTACGACCCACTTTCAGTTTTCCCTTATAAAGAAATAAACCCTGAGCTTAACCCAGATTCGATAATACAAATCTCTGCGAAGAAATTAACGATGGCTATTAGTTTGAAGCGCAATACAACAACTATCTGGAAATCATAATCAAAGAACAAAACGTGTGATGATTATCAACATATACTTGCCTAAAACATGGACTCAACAACTTAACGAAGAAATCTAGCTCCAAAATAATTAAAAATATAAATACCCAAAAACCCAGATACCAATAAGAGGCAATCAAAGTTAGAAGAGAGGAATGAATACAAAATTTCACACAAACACATAGATTGCAATCTATGTATACAAAGGCGTAAGACTGCAGAATAGCAGAGGTAAGAAAGATATACCCAACGGAGGAACTACACTGGCCGGTGAAGAATGGAGCTGGGGGGCCTCTCGCTGATCAAAAGGATGAAGTTGTGGCTGGCCGACGAACAAGAAACATAGCTCAGAGAAGGGAAGGCAGCGGTTCTGAAACAGTGTCACGGAATTGCGAAATCGATGTACCTCCGCCCTGGATTGTAACCCGAAGACTCAAATGCCCGCGTCTCTCGCAAGTTCGGATCTGGAAGACCCGCTTGTTTTTAATTGGCAGAAGGTGCAATTCAGCCCTTCTACTTACAATACTGTGGCATTTCAGCCCCTCTACTTCAAACAGTGCAATTCAGCTCCTCAACTACATGAAATCTGCAAATCAGCCCTTTTAGTAAAGATGACGTCATTTCCCCATTAAACTATCCATTGCCCCCATTAACATGGGATGATTAGATGTTAATTAGGGATGACTAGGCAATGACTTTTTAGGGATTTTTAGGTCACATTTTCGGTCCAAGTCATAGCTTAGTCATACTTATTCAGTGCCTAGTCATTCCATCTTAATGGGGGCAATGAATGGTTTAACAAGAAAATGACATCATCTTTACTAAAAGGGTTGATTTGCATTTTTCGTGTAGTTGAGGAGCTTATGTATATTGGTTTGAAGTAGAGGGGTTGACATGCCTTAACATTGTAAGTAAAACTAAGTCATTTTATTAAAGTACAATGAAAAAAAA